CAGCTGTCTGTTTCAGAGTATTGTTTTCCCACAGTCGTCCTTGTTCTCCAAGACAGTGATGGATTTCCCTGGCATTTCAAATACTTCAAGCATTCATACAGCCTTACTTAGGATTTTCTCCTAAAGTCGTGACATCTGCAAATTCAGATCACCTTTTCCATGTTTACCTCTCAACATTGACAACGTGATCCCTAAGAGCAGCATTGGTATTGGTTTATTCAAGTCAGATCTTTATAGTAATTGTAACACTGTTCTTTCCTATTGGGAGCCTGAATCATTTGGTAGGGGAGCAGTACCTGGTGGATGGTCTCACTGCAGGGTGAGATTTAGAAGAAAAATAGTTTAGATGATTGCATCAATGCCAGTGACACTGGCTAAATATTGTCCCATCTCCAGGCAAAGAAAAAAAATATAGCAGATAGTGACTGGTTCGGTTACTGAGCTTTCTGATAAGAAAACTCTGAATACAATTGCTGCATAATGAAATTAACAGACACCAAAATATGAAGCTTGAGTATGTTAATAGCCTTTAATGTGGCCAGAAATGTATTTCAGAGTGTCACTTCAATATGTTTTCTTGGCACAGGCTTTTCTTCAAGGCCTGATTCTCTACTTTGCATTCTTGATTGTCTTCCACAGCTGTGTGAAGTGGGTATAAAATGCCATCAAGGAGTGAAGAACTGGGATCACAAATTCTCCAGAATTGGATGGTTTTTCCCCCTTTTGAGCCAATTTAATATTGTTACAACAAACACTTCAAACACTTGAAGTTTGGCGAAGAACTGCATCTGTTTTATGTGTACCTTGATCTGGCATTGAACTTGTTTGCCTTTGAAATATTGACTGAATTCTTGCAATGTGTTGTACACTTAGCTACCCAGGAGTTTCTGGTGCCCAATGTTCAACACCATGATTTATTGTCATGAAAAGTAGTGTAGCTGTAAGCAGTAGCTTAATATGAAGCATGAAGTAGGGCCCAGATCCAGTCTAATTAACCTCAAGAGGTCCCCCAAAGTCAAATAAGGCAATCTGATTTGGGAATCTTTCTCCACTGGCTGAGTAACAAACGCCAGCACCTTCCCATGCAAGTGTTTAAATCACCTTGGTACTGTTCAAAGGCTGTCCATGGCCATGCAGTCTGTTGAAGACTATAACTGGCCCCAGCATACCTAAAATCTCAGGCTCTTCCAGGGACTGATGTGACTCCCCCTCTCAACTTTGATCACATATTGCTTTGAGTGGGAAAGTATTAATCTCCCCAAATCAAGGTGTTTCTGAACCTTTACATCTGAGAAACTTTGACACTACGTAGTGTCCAGCAGTCTATCAGAGAAGGTGACTTGATCACTAGGCAATGCAGGAAAATAGGTCTCTGGGGACTTGCATGGAATTTGGGTGCCCAAGTCCCATGTAGCCAGGATCACAGGACTATGGTCAGGAACTTCAAGTTGTTGGTTATGACGTGCTTTAATGAGTTTGCAGCACCTTCACGATGTATTTAGTCTCTCTCTTAAGTCAGAGGTTGCATGTTCTGTTCAAGGGCTTTAAACAAGAGTGGTTCTTACCCAAATTGTTGTTTAATTGCCTAAAATAAAAATATCACTTCTATGATGCAGTAATTAATTCTGGGGCATAAGCCACTAGCAAAATATGCATGAATGTTATGTGCCACAGTCATTAAAATGCAAATTGGTGTTTTATTTTGACTGCATGATCTTGCTTACATGTTTCAGAGAGAACAGTCCAAAATGGAAGTCACAGACTTAAAATAATGGTCATTTTTCCTAAGAAAGCATGAAGAAACATGTAGGTGTTATCACCCTGATCACTACAATATAATGAGGATCCTTATAAAAACACATTACATTTAATAACGGAAAATGTAGAAGGGGGACAGGAGACTTCAATAGTATCAGCATAAATGGGGAAATATTGTAATGCTGTTTAGTTTCCTTAGTATACTGGCTACCATTAGAGCAGCAAACATAGATTTCCAGATGTTTGTGAAGAGTCCAACAGTTATATTTTATATCTATGGCTGTAGTAACAATTTCTATTCAGCAGCCTAGAAAAACACTTCATGTCACAACAGGAAAGAAATATTATTGTGGGGTTTTTTCTCCCTCATCCCCTACATAGCAATTCTGAATACTTCAGTCAATGCCAAACAAAAATGATGGTTTAAAAATTAAAACCACAATCACTAGGGGCAGGACATAAATGTGCAGATGTTCTGTGATGCTGAAGAACTTTTCAGGCAGCAGTCACAATGGTGTTGGGGAGAGGACAGGGAATCCATCAGAGTTGGACACTGTCAAAAGCATTCCCTTAGCTACACTTGCAGAAAAGGCACTTACCTTTTCATATTCCCTTAAGAAAAGAAAAAAAATCAAAACCAGAAAACCTACTCACAATGGCCTCTGTATAGCTCTCACTATTTTATTAGCAAGGGATTGACTATAATCTGTTAATATACATGAGCAACTTAGATCTGGAGTTTACTAGGCAACCTGTACAAGTGGAAAAGTACATTGTCCCATAGCAGCATACAAAACATCAATTTTCCTTCTCTGGGAAGAAAAATTTTTACAAGCTTATTAGCTGTTACTGTTTCAGGCACCTATGTGCCTTAATGCTGTTATACAAATGGCTGCCTGAAGAGCTTGCATTTTCCACACCTACCTGGCCAGACAAAAGACGTGATGAATAGCAGCAAAAACAGCAGAAGGCAAGTTTTTAAAGGCACACTTTGTAATCAGTACATTTAATGCCTGTGTATGGTAACAGACATCTTGCCTCCCAGAAGTACACACAAGCACTTCTGCCAATTTCTCCCTAGGAAAAAGGGAAGGGGGATAAATAAGAGAGAAGGCGATGTGGTGGGAGTACTGGCCTGGATAGGATGGATGCTCCAGTGAGGAAAGGTTGACATATGTTGGGGGAGGCAGGGATGGGGCTGGAAAGTGTGCACCTTGGGGAATCACAGAGTTGAAACCGCATCCCTGGTGGCCTGGCCTCTTTTCCAGCCCCAGAAATTGCCTGTCATATGTGGCTAGTGTCAGGTATCAGATGCTAGTTCTCCAGAATGAAATGCACCATTAGTAGGTAAAGACAATTCATTAGGTGCAACATAGCTGAACAGTAATTAATTATTAGATATTATTTCTCACAAAATGCATCTCCAAAGTTCACATCACATTAGCCGCAATATTGGACTGATGGAGCATAAACAAGGGTAATGATAAACACTGGTGAATGGAGTTGGGAAGAGATGGTTATTAGGGTACTAGCATGTTTCATGTGGGGTTTATTTAACAGTCTTATTAATGATCTGGAAAAGGAAGTGAATAACTATTTAATTAAGTTTGTATTTGATACTAAATTAGAATTTGCTGTAGACACCTCTGAGGGCAGAGAAATAAATCAAAAGGAGCTAGGAGCATGTGCAGTAAAGAAGAAAATGAGATCTGGCATGGGAAAAAAGAAAAAAAAAAAGGCAAGTTAATCTCTCTGGAAGCAAATAATCTCAAGTGTAGCTATCAGTGGAGGAATTCTGGAGAAAGAGGTGTTGAAAGAGATGTAGGAGTGTTAATGGACTATATATTCCATCACAGCTCTGGTATATGTTTACAGAAGCAACGCATCAAGGAGCAGGAAGGTAATAGCCCTCCATTGTAGGGCTCTAGTGAGAACCATCTATAATGCAGCACTCCGTTTTGGGCATCCTGTTATCAGAGAGATATAGACAAATTGGAATGAGTTCAGAAAAGAGCCATAAAAATGATCCCATATCCCTGGAGATAATGACTTATGAAGAAAGATCAGAAGAAGTAAATGTGTAAGGCCTTGTCTGAAAGATGGCTGAAGTAGGGCAGGAAAACAGTCTGCAACTACGTGAAAGGAAAAAGGGAGGAGGATAATTTATCATTGTAACTATTAGTAATAGGATGAAATAATAAGTAACAACAATAAATTTTAAAAGGGCAACTTCAGGTTGAATGTAGGGAGAAATTTCTGACAGTGGAATTTGGGTTAGTTTGCAGAGAAGTTTCCCAGGGGTAAAAGTAAAAGCTGCATTCAAGTCATTTAAAATCAAATTGGACAACTCACTAGAAAATGCACCCTGCTATGGGGAACAATCTTCCATTGCCTGGGGAATAAGCTGGATGACTTAATAGGACATTTCACACTCGAGCCTTTATGACTGTGATATTTTAATATGCATGGTCAACTATTTTGGGAAAGTATACATTTCTTGCGCTGTCAGGCCTCATAATACAAACACTTGCATGGAAACATAACTTTTAAGATGGCAAGCAGCTCTGCTGACAGCACGGCACTGCTGATATGCAAAAACACAAGCCTGAGCTCCTCACATTTCTTCAGGAGCAGAGTCTTAGATCTTACAGTTGTCAATATCAAGCAACCACATCACTTATGGATAGGTGAAGTATGCAGGAAAAAAAAAAAAAAAAGATAGGGGTAGGAAGATCCAGTGAGGATGTATCATTATTGGCATTATTATTGTTATTCTATTACTGCTAGTAAATGGCTGGTACAGTGGAGTTCAGCTCAGTTTCTTGACTGTTCACCTTTTCCATCTCCAGCTTTCACCTCTGCATGGCATTCATTAAACACTGTAGGACTGCTTCCTCTACTCTGTTTTTACCATGTTTCATTTTTTTTAATGTATCCTAACATTTCTGTTGAATGAGAAAAGAGACAAGCTGAAGGGAAAGCCTGACCCTCTCTCGTGTGAAGAAGGGATGGCAAAGGCTGTGGAAGTAAATGAACATTCAGCTAGTATCAAATCTTCCCCTCAAATTACAATAATACAATGTTGAACTTGAACTCCCTTCACCATTTGTTAGCAGCAGAGGCAAGCTCACAGATAGGTATGCTCCCTAAAACACCATGGTTTTTACATGTTTTTCTTTCTCTTTGTGTGTTCTTTTTTTCTCCTCTCCCCTTCTCTCCCCGTGGGCTGCATGTGGGGCCAGCAGCCTGGTGGTGCCGCAGTCCAGCACCCGCGCCCCGGGACTCTCCAGCAAGGGGTCGAGCAGCAGCAGCTCCAGTGAATCCGAGACCAGCTCGGAGTCTGACTCGGAGAGCGAAAGCAGCTCCAGCGAGAGCGACGGCAGCAAGCCCTCACATTACTCCAGCCCAGAGGTAAGGGCTTCTGCTCTACGTGATTTGGGGTGGTGAGCCATTATTACACCCACTCAGACTTTTTTTTCCAGCCAAGGTGACACAAGGAGACTGGGGGGAGATGAAAAAAATAAATTAATTGAAAAAAAAAAAAAAAAAAAGAGGAAGAGAAAATCATAAAGATCTTCCTCCTGGCACCCTGTGAAATGCAAGTGGCAAGGGATGCTGGGGCAGATTTGAAGCATTTGAAACAAAATGAAGAAGGAAATGACCCTGTGATATTTTCCTCAAACTGGAGCTCCTCACAAAGCTCACAGCTTGCTTGAGGCTTTATGCAACTCTGCTTCCATAGCAATGGCTTGCTTAGTGCTTAAGTCCTGATGTGGACTCTCAGCACTGCAAGGGAACTAAAGGCTTCTCTGTGCAGGGAAGCTATTATGAAATCAGTTTGAGGGTAGATTTTTAAAGCAAAACAGTTGTTTTTCACTCATGCACTTCCCTCACTTCACTCCCCAAGTGAATTATTCTCTGCTACTGCTGCCTTTCTGTGATTTAGTTTAATCCATCTCTAGCATGGACTAAACTGAATTACTCATGGTGCAAAACATTAAGCCCAAACTTGTCATCTGGAAAGCTAGCACTGAAAATTTCCACATGTAGACAAGCCCTAGCCAAAGTACAATTAAACTGCCAGTGCTGTGCTACCTTCTGCTTTCACCTCTGCAATGTACTCAACAGACACATATAGGGCTGCTTCCCCTACTCTGCTTTTCTACCAGGCTTGGCATTTTTATGTGTTTTGGTCAATGTACACCTTCAGTATAAAGCCATGCACTCCACAGCCACATCATACACATTAATGTATGTAAAATTATTCAAAAATCTAGCAGCAGGATTGTAAATACTCATGAAATACAGTCAGTACTTTTTCCTGCTCCACATAAAACATCCCCTCACCAGACTCCTCCCCTGACAACTAAGCCTCACAGATTCTCTCACCCTGAAAAATTATACTGAATAACCAGCAAGCCTTTCCTCATATTTTGCTCAGTGTTTGGGGCCATGTTTCCCATCAGGGAAAATACAGCACTCACAGAAACATCATTTCTATATTTTTCTCAGGTTTTGTTTCTTGTTTAACACTTATCTTCTTTTCTCTCTTTCTTCCATAGTGCTTTCAGATCCATTTCCAGTTAATTTTCCTCCACTTTGTCCCTTTCCTAAGTCTCTCTCTTGTTCTCTCCTTCCTTTCTTCTCTGTTTTCTTCCTTCCAGTCTCTCTTTCCCTGTTGCCCTCCTCACGCTATCCCATTTCTCATTTTCCATCCCAAATTCTCTCATCTGACCCATCAAGACCTTGTTCTGTCTCGTTCCTGGCTGAGTTCAGTGCAGAGGTCTCATACTCTCTTTGCTTTCCCTATGGGAATCTTAGAAGATATAAGAAAAGGGATGAAGAGAAGAAAGTGTAGGAACCATGGCAGGGGGGAAGGGAACACGAGATAAAAGGGGGAGATGTATAGTACCCAGGAAGAGAGGAGTGTGTATACTAAGATAAAAGAGCATCTAGGTAGATACCTGTGATGCTTGGACACGAGAGAAGCAATTCCTTAGAGAATGCAGGAAACGAATTAACTAAGGCAGGTCGTGGGTTTTGTAAAGTCAAGCAAGGGACCAAGAGCCATGGAAACATGGAGGAAGTGTCTCCTCTTAGGCATTTTATACATATTCTCTCGAGATCTGTGCAACCACTTCTGTGTGGAGTCTGAGTTATCAGTGATCATTGTCACGAAACAGCTGCACTGCTTCAACAGATTGCTTGTCTCTTTGCATTATGTTTGTGTGGTTTGCCTTCTAGGACATGCTGTACAAAACAGGCTTATATGAAAATGTAAAGGACTCAAAAATGCGATGGCTGCAGTGGTTTTCATAACTTGCTCCTTGGGATATGGGAGAGGCCACGACATTCACTTGGGCAGGGTCAGGTTGTCCAAGAGAAGTAGGATATCTGTGCTTTCCCAAAGGGCCAGTGCTTTCCCAAGCCCATCATATGACTGGTGAAACCAGTTCCAACATATTTTGTGATGTCTCTGAGTGGAAGTCCTGTCTGCCTTACGTTAATGCTTTAACTTACATTTAGGAACCCAGTGAAGCCATCTTCCTACAGTACATGCCATGTTCTTACCCCATAAATGGAGAGAGACAGGTCCTTGGGAACTCTTTAAAAAGAAGTCCTGTCCACCTGAATTTAATTAGTGGGCTCAGTTCCAGTCATGGTCGCAAGATGAATTTCATCTATTGGATAAAATAAAAGAAGCAAATACATCTTTGTCATTACATAAGGATAAACTAATAAAGGTACAATTCAGGTACAATGAACCTGAATACTCCTGCACAATGCTGGGCAGGAAATCCATATGTCCAAGGTAGGAGGAACTTCAGTTGGTAATCTGCAGGCCATTATGAGCCCTTCATTCTTTTTTTTTTTCTTTTTTTTCCCATAATTAGAAATATCATATGCATATATCCAAAGTATTTTCTAGGACAGGTTATCTTCTGCATGCTACATTATATAAAAATTTAACTGCTGTTTCATTTCTTCTGTAATTATTCTTCATCTCATTTTGAGACCTTTGAGTTGTTTTCAGGTGTCTTAATGCAGTTGCCTAGAGTGTAAAAGCAGCTCATTGTAAAGCATACATATAAAATAGATTAGATGAATTGCACCCTAAAAGTGTCCGTTTCTTTCCAGTGACTATTTAGAGCCTGTAGTGACTAGCTCAGCTGTCTACACTTTATGTCTGCAGTAAACTAAGAGTAATGGCTGAGCTAGAACAGGAGACAACATTCAGACTGGTTTCAGTGATGTGGACAAATTAAGGTGCCTCAGACAGTAATGTGAGTAGTTACAGTTTTGTGGACTGCCAAACCTGAAATTATGAACAAGGGACTGAGACTTCTATCTCCTGTTTCTTGCTGAGGCCATGAATTCTTTGTATGACCTTAATTAATGTCATAAATGAGGATTCTGGAAAATGGCGACATCCTTCCAATTATTTTAGATGATAGAAAAAAAAATGTGGGTCTCAAGTCCACAGAAGAACTACATTTCAAAAGCTAAAAATTTGGTTTGTTTGTTCTTTATTCGGTTGAATTATCATGCAGACCTTTAATAAGACTGGGTCTGGTTAGACTACTCGGGAAGTCCCATTACACTGGAAGGGCCAGAGGGAGGAGCGGGCAGGAGGGAAATAGAGAAGCAATTGCATGGAATGGGGCATCAGTGGCTATTCAACAGTAATCTGGCCAGAAGAGAGAGACGTGCTGTCCTGGACCCTGTCAGCATCCCACCCCCAGATACACCGTCCTTTACAGCCTCCACAGTAGTGACCAGTTCGCAGCCATCAAGGGTTTTTACCATGATTATTCCATCATCACAGGATAGTTTTGGCCTCGCATCCACACGTTGTGTCTGACCTGGTCAAAGCTGAAGTGATTGGAGATGCTCTTCCCAGCCTTTCTCCTTCGACAACAGAGACCCACCTCCTGCCCACAGCACTGTGCATCCATTCCTTCAAGTGCATGGACTTTAGTACTAATAGCCACTGCTTGTAAATTCAGCCTGTTCCCTCAGGAGCTGTGTGGCATTGGCTCTCTTCTCCTTAGCTCAGAGAATAGGAAGAGCATATGTATCTAACCAATTAGCTAACCGGTGAGCATGCTTCTGCCACCTCACCAGCATTTCTTCACTGCTGTATTTCCTCAGGGAGTCAGGGAAAGAAGAGTTTAGCTTCAGGGCTGGTTTGTGTGTGTATGTTTTCTGTATCTGTCTTGTTTTCCAAAAAATTTTGAATGGGGATTTTTTTTTTTTACTAGACCAACAGTAGACACTACCTTCAGATTTGCTCATAGGATTAATGGACTTTAGCTCTTCTATGCACTGTTTTTGGAAAGACTACAAATTAAACTTCCCTGGCCCTCTAGAAAACCCTTTGAGGCAGGAGCCACCTTTTAGAGTATGTGTGCACCATGCCTAACTGATGGGAATCTCCAGTTCTAATTTGATAAAGTTCTAGCAATACTAATAGTAGAAGCAGCAATATTAATCATCATGATCTTCATCTATGTCTTAAATACAATGAAAAGACATCGCATTTGTATGGGAATTGTTCTGAACCAAGTCTTTGATAGTAGGACAGCACAAACAGGTTATCATATGGGTAAATTAATGTGTGGATTTCCAATAGGTCAAGTATGCTGCAGGGATGGCTGATTGCTCACTCCTACCCTGCATTGGGTTAAGTACATGCACAGTATAGGCTATCCAGTTTCCCAGTGAAAGTGGTATCATGCTTCACGTTTACCATGGTATTAACTACACCTTAGGTTCCTATTTATAATGACCATCATAGAGTGATCCCATTACACTTGCATTGTTTAACAGCCCTTCACCCAACAAGTGTTTTGGGATAATGAGTGTTGACAAAGTTTTCATTTGGATGCATGTCACTCGTGCCTCTGGTTGCACTTGTAGCCTTGAAGAGACCTGAGATATATAGACATCCTTTGTGTGAGTCATCCCTCCCAAATCTGGACATTCGTACTGTAGATACCTATAGGCTCATCACCTCAGCCTCTCCTTTACAATTAGGGGAGAGGAATGGACATTTTTAGGGCCCAGATCATCTGGCCTATTTTGGATGTCTATTTCAAGATGAAACAGTTCACACTCTAGAAGAGTAGCCCACTGATCAGGTAATGAACTTTTTGACTAGCTCAGGTATACATGGCAGATGTACATCTATAGTACATTGGTCCCTGGAACCATCTTTCTCTGGAAGAGTTTCCTGATGTTGTTTTTTGTGACTAATTCATACCTCATTGCAAGTCAGCTTTACTACAGACCATTGTTCCTACTGCTGCTCTGTCTGGCCACAACCAGCTTTACTCCAACTAAAAATTGCCAAGTTCTCTTCAAGACCTCCATGGCAGTGTATTTCCATGACATAAGACCATTTTGCTACTTGATTCCTCTGGATCTCCATCCATTTCTGTCCTTACATGCTGCTGAAAATATCTCACTGCAAGCAAACCAACTTTAGTTCCACAGGACCATATGTGACCTGCTCAGGGAGGTAGTGTGGACTGCAGAATTAGGGATTTTCTGTTCCTCCCAAAAATAATTGCAGTTGGACATGTGAAGTGTACTGGTAAAAACTTTCCAGTGAATCTTCCCAGTCCTTTTTTTTCACCAGGTCTGTTTTTCTCTCCTGTCTGGTCTCTTGAAAGTTACATTGTTTTTGAAAGTTATTTCAAAAAATAGTAATTTTTAGAGAAATCAATTGAGTAAATTACTTGCAAAATAAAACTGGCATCACTCATGTACACTTTGACAATCTTAAATATTCCAAAACTGTGAAAGGGCCTTAAAATAATTAGAGAAGTTTAAAAGTTCTGATTTTCTAGAATCCATATTCTTTACCTTATCAGCTGCAGGCCTTTTGCTTCTAGCAGATGCATGTGAAAGGTTTTTGGGTTTCTGATTAATTGTTTGCAGATACATCTTAAAGTTTCTTTCAGCAGCCTCATGGACTTCAATTTTTCTTTAAATAAACTGGATATGTATCTAAGTTCATGACTTGGAGAGCTGAGGCTTTAAGAAAATCTAACAAGTGTCCTGAAAGCCCTGACAAAATTAGCAAAGCTGGCAATATTGCTGATGCTTTTTATTAGACTTTGTAGTCGGCTTACAGGTTGGTGGGAGTGTAGCTATTCCACTTAAACAGCAGACATATCACTGTAGGGAAGTACCATATTGATTGACAAGTTATGACACTTTAGCAGTTAATCACTGTTTTCTGCTGGTTTACTGTTATCCCTTGAAATCCATATTTTGTGAACCACTGTTTTAGAGAATGACAAGGTACATAAAGAGACAGAACAGGATGTAACAGAAAACCTGGAAGATTTTTTTGAACTTTCATACTGCCCTCACTCTGGCCCATACTTACAGGCAGAGGTGTATTTTTTCTGCACGTTTCTGATATATGTCCTTTTGTTGAATATAACTCCTGAACGCTGTAAAGGCCTCCATATATAGTGAACCTTTTATTATATATGTAATAAGTTCAGTATGTACATAATGAATGGCACAAAATGCATCCAACTCTACTCTCAGCAGCAGTCTAAAAAAATGTTGTTTATTTTACACAAAGAGTTAAGAGTCTTAAAAATACATCTTCATCCAAGAGAAATGCTGCCCATTCATTTTCAAGATTTACAAGTCTGGAAAGAAATTCATCATGTATGATATTAGGGAGTATGATTAAGAAAAAATAAACTTAACGCAATCCAGCAAGCTTCCTGTAGGTATTGGCTAGCTGGATAATGAGTAAATTAGACACTTCAGAGGGAGGAATATTTTTATCATATGAATTCCAATGTGTAACTGTTCTGCTTATTTTAGGAGACTTTGCTCCCTGTAGAGTGAATACAGCCCTCCGTGGGTGACTCTGAAGACACCCTTGGCTATGCAGGAAGCCTATGCTGCTTTCAGGCACCTCCTTTTAATAGAGGATCCTTTGTGTTGGAGACTGTCTCACATCAGAGACTGTGGATATTCTCTCTTAGGCAAACATTCTTCCAGAGCATCAATAGTTTTCATGTGCAATTACTTAGTTGATCAAATTTTGGTTCCAGTTCAAGAAATTAGGAGACTTTTCACATTGGCTTCTCTTGGTTCAGAATATGGCTGGCCATGCACTCCATCTTTTCTTTTTTTTTCCCTTTCCTTTTCATTTTATTATGCTCAAATTACTGATTGCAAGAAGCATTAGAAAATACTTGCACATTGTTCTGAAATAACATTTTCTGAGCTGTGGTTACATTTGAAATCATAATTATCCTACTACTTCACTGTCCAAACACCATTATATTTTAGATGTTCTCTTATAACTTGATCATGTTGTGACAGGAACAAAGAGAAAAACTAACAGCCTCACAATACTTACCAAATGAGCATTTGACAATACCACCACACAGCAAATGTTTGTGTGATCTCACAGGATTATAACATCAATACCAGACAGATTATATGCACCGCCTGGTTAGCCTTCCCTCTCCCAGGAGGGACTACATGCCCCTTTGTATGCTATTTAAATACGTTTTGTATTTAATGCAAAGGTGAAATACATATATATATTATATATATATTTATATATATATATATATATATATACACACACATATATATATATCCCTAGCTTTCCAGCTAGCTATCCTAGTTTAGCCTCTGCTGTATCCCTGCCTTGTTTTCCACCATTATTTTATTCATTGTTTGGAAACTTGGTAGCATTTCCCAGTAAAGCCAACACCAGTAGCTCTGCATGAATCATCCTTAGAAATTATGACTCATGAAAGCTGTTGTCCTTCCCAACCTCATCCAGAAACCAAAAATATCCCTACCCGTGGGGCATGCCCCATCTTTCCCCGCCCTAATGCCCAGCCTGGACCTCTCTCAGGGCAGCATGGTGCATCCTCACCAACTCACCTTTCCCCAGGTGCCATGGGGCTCAGGGTGGCCCCTTGCCCAGGATAAAATCTCTCCACTATTAGTGTTTTGGTGTCCCTGAGGGGACCCTGCAGGCAAGGGCAGAGGGGCTTGGTGCTCATTGTTGTCCACTTCTCTTTCAGCCTGAGCCACCCTCCTCCAACAAGTGGCAGCTGGACAAGTGGCTGAACAAAGTCACCCCTCACAAAGCACCCATCCTGACCCACCATGACGGCCCGGCACTGGATGCCCATCCCTACTACGGCCACGTGAAGGCGGAGCGGCAGGAAGGCGAGAAGACCCCGGCCACTGGCCCAGCCGAGCACCGCAGCGGGGAGGGCCGCACCACCACCGTCACCACCACCGCCACCGTCGGGGACGGACCACGGCCCAGGACCGCCAACAAAGCACCAGGCAGCAAGGGCGGCCGGCAGAAGTCACCCCCGGCTGCGGACAGCGGGCCTCCAAGGAGGGCAGCAGGGAAGAAAGCGCCGCGGCGGGCTGAGAGGACCTCAGCTGGGGACGGCTCCCACTGCCGTGGGGCAGAGGAACCCACCGGGAGCCACGGCTTTCTGGAGAGCACCACTGGCGAGGCACCGAGAGCCCGACCTGTTGGCGGTGGCAGCGGTGGAGGCTGCAGAGCAGGGCACCGCCGGGAGCCCCGCTCGGCCACAGCCGGCGAGAAGCGCCGGGCACGGGGGCCGAGCAAAACGGCACCCAAATCCAAGGAGTTCATCGAGACTGAGTCCTCCTCATCGTCATCTTCCTCTGACTCAGGCTCTGAGTCGGAGCGGGAGGAGCGCCCGCTGCCCAAGGCACCGGCGGCAGCTGGGGCTGAGCCGCGCACCAAGGACGCAGGGACCGGTGCCGCCAGCAAACCCCACGGTGGCTGCAGTGCCTTTGGCTCCATTAATGCCAGGACTAGTAGTGAAATAGCAAAGGAGCTGGAGGAACAGTTTTACACCTTGGTTCCTTTCGGTAGGAATGAGCTCCTGTCTCCTCTGAAAGACAGTGATGAGGTAAAGTCACTGTGGGTCAACATTGACTTGGCTCTTTTGTCCAGGATTCCAGAGCGTTTGCCCGAAGAGCCGCTGGCAATGAGCGCCGGAGCAAACCAGGCGGCCAGCCTCCCGCAGGGTAGTAGTGCTGACCCCCCCGCAGAGAAGGGTTTACCGAAATCTAGAAGGAAACGTAAGGTGAGCTCCGGGAGATGGGGGTGGCTGCTTGGGGTGGGAAGGGGGACACAGCCCAGCCGCGGTCAGTGAGCATCACTTGTGCCCATGTCCAGCACTCAACAGTGGTGTCCTCACTGGGCTTTGTCCCCTCACACCACACTGGAACCAACAAAACCCCAAGGGTGGTGAAACTCCTGGACCCGAGGAGCTGGTGTTGTCTGCTGGCACATGGCTTTTTGTACTCTGGTGAAAGTGAAGTCAGATAGCTTTTCCCCCTGAGGCTTCTTGCAAAACCAGAGCATTTGGAGGTGATGCTTGTTTTGGCATAGGGAACATTCTGGCACAGTCTGTACGATATCACTACATATCTGGAAAAAAAGCGAGGAAGCATCCTTTTTCCCTTCGTATTGACAACAATAGAATCCTTCAGTTCCTGCAGGCAGCCCTGGCTTATCAGGGACCTGCCTAGCTCTGCTGCTTAATTCACTGACACTTCAGCAGCTCCCTGCTACCTCAGGACCCCCACACGAATGTAAGAGGTGAGAGGGTAGCTGACAAGCCGCCCTGTCCCCAAGCAGCACCACTGCAGCAGCCAGGTGGGCACAGCCCTGTGGTCATATCCATCCCTCTGCCATGCCACTCCTGCACTGTTTTCAGAGCTGCCAGGTGCACAGGCTTTATCCCTGCTGAGGAGCTGCCTCCACCCCATGGCTGCAGCTGTCCATCAAGAAGGCTTTCCAGTCCATTGGTACCAATCTGCCCCCAAAAGTCACTCTGAACTGGAATTGCCATCTGCCCGATTTCTGGATGGCTTTACTGTGCAGTTGTCTGTCACCCTCTGAGCTACCATATGTGTGCAGACTGATCTGTATGTTTCTTGGGATCATTTAACCAAACAGCTCTTTCATTTTTTTCTCTCGTTATTTTTTGGCTATTTTTTTAGTATCTGAAAGTATTTTTTTTTTAGTATCTGAACTATTCTAGCTAGTGGTAGAGCAATAGCAGAGAGCCCTGCTATGTTTTGAGATGCATTTGTCTGCATTTTCTTTAGGAAGTAGCATGGAAGTAATTGCATAATACAAAATGATGGGGACCAGGTCAAAGAGTGGCAGAAGTAAAAGATTGATGTTTTGTGCAATAGGAAATGTCTGTGTGATGTTGCCAGCTGGTACATCCAGAATAAAACAGGGGGATATGATAAAAGAGCGAAATAAATGCAGCCATTCTAGAAATGCTTAATTTGACTTTCCATGGCACAAATTATCTTTTAGTCTTCTGTCTTAAAGCATTGCTGTTGTTGGTGGTTTTAGTGTTACAATAAATACAATGGAGTACCGAATTGCTTCTTTGCCTGTAGTAAGACCCTCACTGTGATAACTGCTATGCAAACACACAATATGTGATCCCCCTTCTCAAAATAAGTCTAAAAAGAATGGATTATCAGGCATAACTACAAAATTAGATAGAGGTCCTTATCACTTCCACATCTGTCATGATCTCAAGAAGGGCAAAGTAGAGATAGAAGAGGATGGTTAAGCACTAAGGTGGAAGAAGATCTTTACTCCTGTGGGGTGTGATCTATGTTAACCCCATAGCAGCAGCCACAGTGGCAGTGGATAACACAGAAAATGTTGTTGCCATGCAGCACAGCAATAAACACAGCAAAATCAAGAGATCACGAGTAAAACTCAGTCATCAGTGGAAATTGGATAATGTTACATGTGGAAAGGGATGTAGACTTCATAGAAGGCTGGGAAAACAGGGTCACTGGGAAACAATGGTAGGATCTAAGGAATTCAACCAAAGTCAAATAGTGGCAGGAAACAGTGGCTGCGTTCATACTGCCAGGACAGATAGGGCCAGGATGCAGCACCAAATGATGGCACACAGTCATCCACTTTGTTTGATTGTTAGCGTGCTTGCTAACATGGTTTTGGCCTAGGTCAAATTCTGCTCTTCCAGAAGGTGTCTGGCCCCTGGCCTGGGACCAAACCAACTAAGGTGGCTCCCTAAAAGGCAGTCCAAATGTGATATAGCCTGGTTTCAAGGAGGAGCAAGTTACATGCATGGAAATGAGCTGTGCCATGCTGGCTGGCCTCAGGGCCTGCTGCTGATCTGTTGTATTTACTAGCACAGGCATAGTTATTGATGACAAGGAAAGAGTGGGAGAGACAAGAAGAATGAGGTTGAGGACTAAGCAAGAGAAAAGTGCACAGGAGACAGGCAAAGATGGCAATATAAAGAAAAAAAATATCCTGAGATGCGAGTGGGAATATGGTTGAAGCAATTCAAGTTTTATATTGTACTCTATCTTATACTCTACGTTTACGTACTGCCTCTTTAGATTTTAGTTTTTCAAGACATGAACCAATCTTCTCTGATCACTGTTAGGTATATGCTTAAAGGAAGCGTCAAAATGCCAGAAAATACCAGCTCCTGATTTGTCAAAATACTTTCAGATCTATCGTAAATCCAAAACCTACAAGATTATTATTTTTCTCTTTACTCAGTGTGAGAATGAAGAAGAATACAGAGACATCAAGAAGACTCATTTAGAGCGAGAGAGTTCTTCACGATTAGCTGCCTCTGCCCATAACATCACAACAGCAAATCACTGCAATATGAATGAAAATAGGTAAGCATTTTCCTTCTTATTTACCACTGAGTCAGACAACTAGTTGCAGTTTAATGTCGTGTGTTATTTTTGCCTTTAATAGGATTTATTTTTTAATTATCACATTTTATGTTGAAAAATTGCCCAGTGCATTCTGCTTTCTTCTAGTTTAATGAACAAGTTAGCAGCTCTGACACATTTATATACTCGCATTTTTGTTGTATTGCGCAAAGTTGTGAGTTCAAGTGCAAGGCTCATGGAACTAGTAATTATGGCTAGAGTAGTGCGATCATCCAAGACATATTTTCAAACACTGTCTTGTAGGCACCAATTCACATGTGCAGCCATCTTTTCTTTCCTTTGTGTTACGAGTTTCAAACTTAAAGTTTGACTGTATGTCTGGGTTTAAATGCAATTGTCTGTAAACTCTGTTTAGATTGCAAAAAATATTCATAACGATGCCTGCAATACTCAGTTCCGGAATATACATGAGATCCAATATTTTCAGATTACAAGCAATCTATTCTGTTTAAATAAGGTATTTTAGTGCAAGGAACTCAGATTTTAAAAACAATTACATTTTAAAAGGATGAAGGGTGTGAAAAAGACAATGAATATTTAGCTATATTCTGGCATGGTTTGTGTACACAGACCCCTATCAACGTCAGATAAATCATCCTAATTTTCTGGAGCATTCTAGCAGTGAAACTTTGACATCTTTTCAAAGTTTAGCTGCATGGTGTTTAGTACACATTGGCCACCAGTACTTCAGAAAAAAAGAAAATATATATATTTTTTTTTTATTTTTTTTTCTGGCAGTATTAGGGTATGTCTTAGAGTGGAGTTGCTAAAATTAGAGAATATTTGTATTTATTGTAGTAGGCTTTTCTATTGTACCCATCACTGATGAGTTTGAGCAATTCTTGTCATTAACACTGGACAAAATCATGATGAAAACTGGTATATATACTGCTTATTGAGAAGTTTTAATTCAATTTATTTGTCCTGGTATAAGTCACATGTTTCATAACGTGGAAAAAAAGAAAAAAAAAGAAACATACACAAAAGTGTTTTATTGTGAGTGACTGCATGCAGGCAAGACATTCCTGTGTGGAATAATTGCCAGAGGTGACTTCAAAATTAAACTTATATTCACATTTTAAAGAAAAGGTATAGCATTGAAGAAACTTCCAGGGTGGAGTGTAGCTGCATTCCATAGAAGTTCCCTAGGTTCCCTAGGCCTCCAACCTTAGATGTTGACCACACTGGGGGAACTTGGTGTGCTGACTCTAAGAGGAACAGGACGGAGGGTGGAGCGGAGTGGAGACACCGCGGCCAGGCTCTGTGATAAGATGGGAACTTGAAGGTACATCAGAACCGATAAGCTGCATATTTGCTACCCTGGGCCAGCAGCCTACCACATTTTTGACAAAATGCTGTCCTTTTGGCGAACTTTTCCCATTATAATACCATTATAATACCAAAACACACCTCCATCCCAAAGGCTACCCGCCTCCAGGGTGTAACCATGCCTCACTGAGCTTTTGCTTTAAATTTTTCTAGTCTGTACCTTTAAAAGCAAAGTGAGAAAATTTCACACCAATCATAACAAAAGTATGTATGACCAGAGTCACTCAAGCTCCACCTGAAAGATAAAAAATGATATAAATTAGCTTAAGGGAGAGAGGATGTTAGGGAAGATACCATTGCATAAGGAAAGATACCTTCTGACTTCTGGGATCAGTCGACAGGCTGAGCCTCTCTTCCCCCGTCATTGGGACACCTTTGGGTAAGATTTGAACACTTGGTTATGCCAAGTGCCTCCCTGGGAAACTTAGAAATCTCTGTAGAGCCACTTTATATCTTTAAATGCGTTTGTAGCCGGGCAGTGTTACTTATACTCTTGGTATTTGCACATGCTTTGCAGACAATGAATTTATCACAGGCAATCCAAAGAACCTGTGTATCTGTTGCTTTAATAAATTGCACTAACGCATTAATCTAGCTGTGGTAGTTCTCACTGAACACAATCAAACTCTTTAAGAGTGGCCGTGGTAGTTCATGGAATGCAACTAGGCTGAGGGTGTGTTATGTTATTTGTGCATCCGTAATTGCATTAAAAATTGTATATTAAAGGCATTGTATTAGGTGCTCCTGGTAGAAAACGTACATTAAAGAAATATACTATAAAAAAAAAAAAAAAGGTCTTAAATGAATATTCACCCCCTAATTCTTCCTGGGCCTGCCCTAATTCCAAGAAGTCCAGGTGTTTTATGCTACTGTAGGTCACGATATCAAGCTACTGAGGCTGTAGCTAAACCAGCAGCATGTGTGTCAGGACATCCTGTCCCTCTCGTAACCAGCAGCCACTCATTCTAGCACATCCCCCTACAGTCATGCCAGCATGTCTGCATGTGGAGCCCTCCTGTAAATTCACTCAAGAAACTTGTCTGAAACTTGTGTCAGCACAGCTGGGGGTTGGTAGCAAAGAGGGGAGGAAAAACATCTTCAGACATGAGCATTTTATATTCCAGAACTACAACCTGATGTGCAGACTGAGGAAGGCTCTGTTCGACACAAAAGGCTGCAGTGACATGCACAGATACCCTAAATATCTTGCACCTACATTGGTTGCCACAATTCCAAGTCTCAGCAGAGCAGAGCTCACTGCAGGTTGTTTTTTTGTGGCTTCTCAGTATAATAAGGTCGTGCTGCTGCAGCTCGACTGCTCACAGTATCCTTTGGTGGGCATAAGCAAAGTGCCAGAAGGCATGCAAAAGGTCTGCCACACAACCAGAAATTGTATCTACTCCTCACAAGCCCTGGGCCAAGCTTTTGAGGCTTGGGTAGGAGCCCTCCAAGGAGCAATGGCTTCCAAGGAATGATGGCTTCTTTTGGATGCTGTAGCCCTGCACTTTGACAGTGATGTATAAACATGGCTAGCCAAGACACGGTTTTATGTTTGAAAAAGGGAAAGGAAATAACAGCATCAGCCTTCACTTTGAAAACAGTGCTAAAGATCTTATTTTCCTTAGAGGGAAAAGAAGAACACAGTTGTCCTTTTTACACACCCTGATTCTTGCATTCGTAAAGAGCATTGGTCATTAAAGTAAAACAGTTCGTGTTGTATTTTAAAAGTACTACACTGTGGGAGACAGGAACAGTTCTGAATTATGATTTATGGCTTCTCTCACAGACAGTTTTTAAAGACATGCCAGATAAATGGACAAATGTATGATAAGTGCACATTTAATTAGCTCTGTTCTCTGAAATGATGTACAGAAATAAAGTATATTTTGTACCATATTCCTTTTTGCGATTCCATTAAGTGTATACTGCCTGATACAGTAACTATAAAGAAGTGAGAATTGTCCATAAAAAGTAATAGGCTGAATAAAGGGGAATATGACAGGGGAAGGTATTGTGTTAAAACAGTCTGTCTGACCTTAATCACAGTTGTAGTCTTAATGCAAACCATCTCCATTAAAAAATGTTTATTTTGTGTGTGTTGCTTTAAAATTTTCAGATAAATGGTGTTGTTTTTTTTTTCAAATTAGTGCAGCTAAAGCTTATTTTGGGGATATTTTTATGGTTTGTTTGACTTCTCATCCAAAACTACCCTCAAATAGGTGAAAGTTGAAAATACTGTGTAGCTTTCTTTTTCAGAAGAAGGAGCAGCTCAAATTGCTGTGTGTCTACTGTTTGCATGTGTTTTCCTTTGTCTGCAGTACCAGCTTACCTTTCTTTGTCTTCAAAATCTGTGTTAGATTAGTATAAACAGCTCTACCAAGGGCTGGTCATTGAACACAAAGACAACACAGCCATCTTTAAGCACATTTCCTGGTTTAGTTCACATATGGCTTTATTGCCATGGCTTATAAATTGTCACCTGTAATGGTGAAATAAGGCTCCATAACCTAAACTTACACTTCAGAGCCTAATCTTCGTCTCCAGCTATCCCTTAAGAGATGGTGAGCAAGTGGCCATTTATCTCTGTATTTTTTTCAAGTACTCTGTTACAGACTTTATATTAACTCCAGAATTACAATTTGCCTTGAAGGGAAAGAGGAGAAACATGATACAAATTTGTAAATGAACTCCTGGTCCCCATACTGTAAGCTTGTTTCCAGATACCAATAGACTTTATCCTGCCAGCAGGTTTTAAATTCAAAGTTTTGGTAATATATAAAACATTTACCTTTCTCAAAGCCAGCTTTGTGACACTCCATTACTGTAATTTCCATTTCCAGCTTGGCAATACCAATAAATAAAAATGAGAAAATGCTTCGGTCACCTGTCTCTCCCCTCTCTGATGCATCAAAACACAAATACTCCAACGATGATTTAACTTCCTCCAGCAGACCTAATGGCAGCAGTCTATTACCTTCCATCTCCTCCAGCAAAAAACATAAGGGTGAAATCCAGTCTCAGCCACATCCCGGAGACTTCAATGTAAGTTTATGCTGTTGTTCACAATATAAAACCTAGCTGTATATTTTTCACTTTGTATTGCAGTCCATGATAGCTTTGCAGAATGTTACGGGAAAAAAAAAAAAAAAAGAAGAAAAAAAATAGCAATAATGAATGTTGTACTGTAAGTTCAGTTTTTCTGTTTTAGAGTTTAGCAAGGCATAGAAGAAAGACAACAAGGCAGGCTGTAAATTAGACAAATAACAAAAGCTACATAAGCAGAAGGCTAATGCTGGTGGCCCAAAATGAATGGATTTAGGCCTCTAGAGTATTGCTTGGGCATAATGCAGAGCCGCTGTATCCAAAAATGTGGTGCATAAGGCCTCTGCTGTATAAGGCCTCTGCTCAGACACTGCCTAACCATTAGTGCGCCTGCAGTTAGGTAATCCTCTATATCTTCCAAAGAATATTCCCAGACACTTCTGCTTACTGCTGACACCAGTGAACAGCTCAGCACCAGCCTCACAACTCAGCTCCACCAGAGCCCAGTCATTCAGACACTTATCCCATCATACTCTTGATCATGCCTTTTCTCCTTGCAACAGAAATGGTTTCTATACTTTATTCAATGCTTATTTGTTTTTTAATCATATGTTATTTGAAACATAAGAGGCTTCAAAAGCCTAAGTATTTGTGCCTAAGCAACTTCCAGGAAAAGAAAATACCTGAGTTGTAGCAGTGGTTGCTTCCAGACACTTTTGATTTTGGAAACCTGTGGGGATAACTGCCCATAAAGTCATAAAGTCAGATGGGCACTTTTTTTTTTTTTTTTTTTTGGTAGTTAAGGGAGAGGTAGTAAATATAATCTTAATTTTAGACATTTAAAAAAACAAGTTATTGTAAGTTATATTTTTCAAAAATTTCTCACAGAAGCTTTTGGTAAATTGAAATAAAATTAAGTGCATAGAATATGCCAACAAAAAGGCATTTTAACATATAGTAGTGATAAATTTATCTTTTCATGGATTAAATGTAAATTCTTAAACATTTAAACTTCTAAAACATAAGTTTAGAGGTTTATAACCCATTCAGAATTATAATGATATGAGTCTTCACTGGATATCTTGAAAACAATTTAAATTCCTTCACAGGCAAATGTGCTGGAAATCAAAAGTAGAAGGTGATTGCTTTATGATCCACACCCTTAGCAAATGCATTTCACTGAGATTTTCTGCATAGCCTAGCAATGCACCATTTGGTCAACATTTTAACAACCTTTGCAATAAAATTCTTATGTATCTGATTATTCATCTGAAAACTTTAGCCTACTGAACTGATCTTGATGTGCCATATAGAATATAGAATATGAAAGCTCATGAACTATAAATGTTAAACTTAGCTTTGTTTTACCCCATCTTCCCATTGGGTATCTAGCTGGCATGCCTGAGTGCTCCCTTGAATTTCTGTTAGAGACCACAAGCTGGGGAGTTGTTCTTATCCATTTTAATTTTTTGTCCATTTCACTATTAAGTTTCCATCTCCCACCTGAAGGAGAACTAATGGTGATTTCTGGCAGTGGTTACAAGCCAAGAATGACCTGAGGCTGTCTGCTCTGCACTGTACCAGTGCGTGGTTGCCCACATAGCAGGTCACCGGGTGGTAGGAAGGGCTCATGAAGACCAGGGCTGCAGCTGAGAGAAAGCATGAGACCCTGCCAAAAGCTGTGCTTCAGCTGCGGTACAGAGCAGTGATCTTTCAAGCTCACCAGAGACCCAGAGAAGAAAAAAGCCTGGGCCTTGGGTGACAAGTTCTCACCACACAGGCACATTAGCGGTGCGGTGTGGAACAAGTCAAACAAGTGAGCCTTGCTCTCCTGGGGCTAGGTACAATGCTAGTTTGGAAGCTGAAGACTAGAGAGGTAACTCGATCTTCTAAATGACCACAACAGATCTATTCTTTAATAATTTCACTGACTGTGTCACAGAGCATTTTGATAGTTCCTAATAGTTCAGCTCCATTCTGTCTGTATATCGCACTGAAACTCGAGCCCTTTACAAAGTGCTCTGGTTGGTATTTGTGAAGTCATGGCTATCGGTGACAGGACAGTTATACATACTCCTTGCTGAAATAGTAGGAAAGCTAACTGGCACTTTTCGACACACTGCAAAGACACTCTGTTGTTTATTAGTTGCTTTTTTGAAGTTAGTAGCCAATTCCTCAATGTCTTCTATGCTGTTTGTTGTCTAGAAAGCAATTCACATCAATTCAGAAAACGTTCTCTGCAATAAGCCACAGTCCCAAACAGAGCCTTGGTCACCTCTGTCCGGCGCACCCAGGGACTGCAGAAGGACAAAGCTTATCTTTGATGATATGTAAGTACAGATAGCTTTAAAATAAAGTAAACCATGTAGTTTTCTGCATTTAAAAAGAAAAATACCATTTGTTCAACAGGACATTGAGACATGTCCAGTAGTATTTTAGTAATGCTGTACATTGAGCAACGAATGAGACATACTGTACGAAGTCTTTGATTTTGGTCCCTTCCAAGCCAAGCTATTCTATGATTCCATGAATCTATAATTCTATCATTCTATGATTAAGGCTTATTATTGCTCTCAGGGCTTGGACATTAATTCTGTATACCTCAGACTACTTACATGTACACATTCATATCAAGGGAGGGTGATGCCTTCTTGTGTGCCCTTTGAAGCAGGGGAGAGGACAGATGGGAGCCTTGACAGCTGCTGTTGTTACTGCTACTGCTGCTCAGAAAGAAAGGTATTACAAAGGCAGGGTGAGTAGGAAGCAGCGGTGGTTGCATGAGTATCTGAAGGGATACCTGCCCCTCCCCACCTCCAGTACAGCCTTCAAACATCCCTGCCCTCCTTTGAAAATAATTTCAGCTTGTAATTGTTTTTATTTTTTTTGGTAAATTAAAACTGCTGGTTTGCTTCCCAAGGTCGTTTAGGATATGATATTATTTAGATAAAGTATAAAGTTGAAACTAAATGTTGGAATCCTAATATTTAGAAAACCCAGACTTTTTTTTTACCTAGTAATGTTCTAGCCTGAAAATACTGATTTTTCTGGCTAGTGTAGAAGAAATTTTGTTCAAGCTATGTCTCAGACTGCCTCTAACAAATACAGTTCCATGAGCTGTGTGACCTTGATGCACCTTTTGTTCTTTCACAATTACACCCACCACATCGCTCACTCATATACCTAACGAAATCCTGGGAAAACAGCCCTGTTTCCTCATGAACTGTTTTCTACCAGAACAAATATTTTTAATAATTACTGGTAATAAGAATTGTAATAATTGTAAGGTTCATTCATATGACCTAGTCTCAGAGACAACTAGAGGGATGACAGCATCTCATAATGAGAATCCAGGGTTCCTACTGTAAGATGTAAATAATTCACATAGACTTCTAAAGGACGTAAATGTATTGTATGTCAAGAAAAGAAGGCTGGTGAGATTAATTTCTGCGTGCATTCATGGAAGTCATGAGGAGATGTAAATTCAATAAATGTAATCATTCTTTCTTCCCCTTTTGAAGAAAACTCTCCCTTGTGTATATATCCTCATTTTCCCTCCTTCTCGACTTCCATCCATGCTATTTTTCAACTTTTGCAACACATTTATTCAACAATTTCCATTGAGGAAACCTCAAACTGTTTAGAAGTACTACCTAACTCTTCATATCTCTTGAAATACTATATCATCTGTAATTTACTTGCAACTGTTCAGTTTTTCTGCACTGTAAATGCACATACAAGGCAAAAGGTATCATTGTACTTGATAAAAGTCAAAATGTAGGATGTGCTCATCTGTTTGGATTAGAAAAAAATACAGTCAGAAACACCTACAACAGAACTATTGTGTATCTTCATCAGATTTTCCCTCAAGATGCTGACAAAACACTGGGGTACCATTTTGGCTTTTTTTCCCCTAGAACACTGTCATAGGAAAACTGCTTTTTCTGTCTCTGTCATCTAAGAGGCCATTATCACTTGCTTTCTCCATTAGTGATACATGTGATTTCTCTGGCAGGCATCTTCAATAAAGCTGTTTCACCTTTTCAGAGGGAGATACAATAAAACTGTTGGTATATAGTGCCTTCCATGTAGAGTGTCCCTGAGCAATTTGCAGCCCATAAAAAACATAAATAGATAAATAAAAAAATAAAAAGTAAAAAAATCTGAAAAGCCAAATAAGATAAAACACGGAAGTTAAATATGTCTTAATTTAGCCATAAAAATAGAAATGGTTAAATGCCCATTGTGCTAACTAGAGGAGGGAGATTTTCAGGTCATGCAACTGTCATCCACAAGCTGTGTCTAGGAAACACCACCAGAATACCAGCTATACTAGACCTTGACTCTGAAATTACCATGTAGAGAAGTCACTGAAATGTAGCAGATTGGACTGGCTGCAAATGTTAAGTGTCAACAGATTCGACTCACATGTTAGAAGGATCAAATTAAACATGGCAGCCAATGTCTTTCAAATCCTTGTACGACCACAGCAGAATATTTGAAGAAATGCAATACAGTGTATCTAAAATTATGTGGTAACCCTAATGGCAGTATTTTGTCCAAAATGATGCCTATGTATTATTTCATCTCATAATCCATGACGTTCTGATTTACAGTAATCCAGACATGGCTTTAATCAGCCTCTATAGTTTGAAGAGACTAAATCTCTTATATTTGATTTAAAACAACAACTAATTTTTTTGACCAATCAGTGTCTCTTTGCTTTATTCTCAATTTATTTTCTCCAGATCATTGACAACTGCTGTCACTAGCAATAAATTGGAACACAAGTAGGTCAATAAAAAGTATATCTTGCTTGGCAGAGTGCTGTATACACATGCATCAAAATATAAAAGTAAATATAGCTAACAGTCTTCAAAAGGCAGCCAAAATACTACTTTCCCTGCTTTGCCATTGTTTACTGCCTGTTCTGAATATGCTTCAAGGTACCCAGCATGGCACATGTATAAATGACATCAATGCTGTTTCCAGTATTAATTCTTACCAAGATTTCCTGGATTTTTGGCAATTTCTGACTCTATAAAGAGAACATTTTAAAGGCTACATCATAATGCTTCAAGCCAAATTCAGTCCTGCTGTAATTTTGCTGAATGATAGAATTCCCAATAACTGCATTTAGGAATGAAGTCTGTTGTCCTTGACATGAGACATGATAAGCACAGACGTGCTGTGGGTGCCTGAGGGCACAGTTCCACACCCTCCTCCAAATACTGCATGTGTGGTATGAAAGGAGCAGAGCACACCCAGCTTTCCCATTTCTCCTTATGGCTAAATCATAACTTGTTCCTCAGGATTGCTTTCTTACTTTCATTGTGCCTTACCCTTTCAAACTTGGAGTGAGGTTTTTTCACTTCCATTTATTTTCCCTTTTTTTCTGGCCTTATAGGAGCAAGGTAATACACCTTTAGCATTTTTAAGTTTTGAGTTTTTAAGTTTTTTTAATTTAAAAAAAAAAATTAAGTTTTTTCTTTATCTTTTGCTGAACATTTTTTTTCTGCCTTCGTGGTTTCAGGTGCTACATACACCCAACAGGTTGATATTCTCCCAAATTCAGGGACATACACTGCTGTGGGATAGTATTACTGTGTTTGTTTGTCTATACATAAATCATATGGCCAAGAAATATTCCAGCTGTAAAGATGTTATGGATAAAGCTCATAAGGAGCTGAAGAGAACTTCTTATCACATCTCTCAGTTTCAGCTTGGACCCAAATCTCTCATTTTTCATTGTTTTCATTGTTTTTTCATTCTCATTTTTCATTGTTTTCATTGCCCTTTTCATTGTTCCTCTGCCTCAAGGCAGAAAGGAAAAGGTGCTCTTGAGCTGTGGCTCCCACACAACCACTGGAATCCAGCACACTTTACCTTGCCCAAAATTCCTCAAGGACTCCTGGTCTTCTGAAGTGTTTAGAGAGATTTCTGGAGTGATGAGAACATTTTCAGGAGCATGGTTAAGGAAAAGGGATTCCTTCTTTCTTCTCATCAGCAGTCTAAAATATTATTGGCCATATGGACCAACATCTACTGTACCAAGCTCCTCACAAATTCATATGCTTAATTTGGGGTGTTCCCATTTTCTTGGCCTTGGGGGATTTCAAGACTTCATCTGATCATTCCATTCTTCCTCTCTTTCCCTTTTAACTTGTGGCACTGAATTTTCTTACGTGCACACTGTTCATGAGAAAACAACATTAAGCTCTTACATAGCAGACACTGCCTCGGTGATTAAATAATTAAATTGCCTGTTCTCTGCATGACCACCTACCCCCTTTCTTTATAGGCCACTTTGTAAGAGCTTGGTTTGGTGGGAAATAGATGCTTAATCGGCTCCAGCAGGAGATTCTCACGGGGTAAAGGATTTATAGCCATTATTCCCTGTTGCCAAAGAAAAGCTGGGGCTGTGGACCTCGTTTGAACTTACAGGCTACATCCATGCCGCTCCTCTGTCCCTATGGGCAAGTGATCCAGCACTGCTTATGGTTATATGATTAAACTGTCTTCACTCCCCAAAACAAAAAACACTCACTGCCTCCTGAGAACAGCCCCTGGCCTGTGCTGTCCCCCAGCTGTGCCCAGGCATTGTCTGGGAGAGAGCTCAAGACTGTGCCAGGGAGAGTATTAGCAATTAAACAGCATGGACATCAAATGATAGAGCTGGTATCCTTGCTCTGTTTATTTCACTAGCACAGACACAGCCAAGGTTTCAGACGTACTGTCACCCAGCAGTTTCACCCGCACCTTGGCTTCTCACTCATCAGTGCTGGGATCACCAGAGCTGGCTGCCAGGTACTCCGTCTCACAGAAATCTCTATCTGCCTTTGGCTTTCAGTCGCCTCTTGGGAAGTCAGGGTGTGATTCCATGACATTTTAAAACAATGTGAGTCTGGGCAGCTGTGGTCCTGCCCTCTCTCCCTAGGTTTGACTGTAAAGGCTTTCCTCAGCCTCTACTGAAATTAGTTGATTTCAGAATATTTATCTAGCATAAAACAAAAGAGATACAACTGCAGTTTATCTGCAAGGCTGTGAGATTTTCTCCCTCTGCTTTTAATACAGGAGCTCAAGTGCCTATTGTTAATACTTCTTTCATTCCTCCCTCTTCACATGTACACTTTGCCCTCGCATGTTTTAGTCCAGGTATTGATTTCACATGAATATCTTTAAGTCGTGAATCTGGGTCATGCCCAGGAATTAGTAGTTGATTTTGACTCTTTCCCTCAGTCTCTCATATTTCACCACATTGACATAGTTATTCTGGGGAATGTTGCGTTTTTGCCAAAATAGGAATCCCCACTTATTTTAACTTTCTGCATTT